GAGGGGGAGAATTTTATGAACTGTACTCTTTTTCCCTTGATCAGGTTTTTATCCCACTGGGTTTTTCCTGACAAGGTTTTTAACGAGGCAGTACATAAAATTAGAATGGGTTTCTAAACTATACCCATTTCACGAATATCCATCATCAATTGAAAAATGAACATTCAAGGGGGAGTGTTAAGAAAAATATGAATTGTTCATTTATCAATTAATTAGGTCATGCTCCATCATAAGTTGCAGGAACAAATTGTCCATCATCATTCATCACCATCAAGCTGTCATTTGTATAGTATGTATACTATTTGTAATAGTGTTAGCACTAAGCCTCTCTACTATAAATAAGAGGCTTAGGATCCCTGTAAATTACCATTAAGAATAAGAAGAAGAGTGAAGAGTTAATAGAGAGAAGAAATCAGAAATATATTATATCTATTCTCATAATCTTTGAGTAGTTTTTCTCTCATTTTTAACAATAAGAGGATTGAAAAAACGCAATAGCTATTCTTAAGTATTTTCTTAAAATATTTTGGGCCTGCCCACCTATTCTCAGCCCATTCTCCACAGACTACAATCCATAGTCCGTTATATATTCATATCGTCTCTCTATATATACATCTCTTCTTACGGCTCACCTGGAAACCCTAAGAGAAAGCTCATCTGCAGTCGCTACTCAAGGCTACAAAGGTTTGTGTTCTATCGATTTGAGTTGTGTTGAACTGTATTTAGCAATCATGGATGGACAGAAATGGATTACACTGAAGCATTTCTCTGTTTTGTAATTTTGGATCAGGGGAAAAGAGAGATGAAGGTTATCGCCGCTTACTTGCTCGCCGTGCTCGGTGGCAACGCATCCCCTTCCCGCGGCGACATCAAGAAAATTCTGTCCTCCGGTAAAATCCCCGATATACTTTACATGTGTTCCTCCCTTTCCCAGATGTAAAGCTTTATCTGTTTTTTGATCTGTGAATATGAACTATTATTGCTTATTTTTATGCATATTTTGCTAGTATGAGTCCTTTTGATCTTTTAAATTGAATGTTTGTAATTGCAATCGAATGTCCTGAAAGGAGAACTTAATGCTCTTCTTGAATCTTGACCTAGTTTTTATTCGGCATTTTTGAGCTTAAGACAGCTTATTTCAGAAAGTGATTATTTTTATCTGTATCTGGTTATGTTGTTGAGTCTTTTACAGTTTTATTGGTGTAAAAATGTAATTCTTGCTTTGCTTAGCTGTATCAATTAAAGCCTCACTTTAGATGAGGGTTTGTGATTCTCAAATGATTGTGGTTGTTTGAGTTTTAAAACAATGCAGTGTTTCACAAATCTAACAATATAAAATGCATATTTCATAGTTGGTGCTGATGCGGATGAGGATAGAGTTGATCTTCTCTTATCCCAAGTTGAGGGAAAAGATATCACTGAACTGATAGCATCTGGAAGGGAAAAGTTGGCTTCTGTACCCAGTGGTGGTGGTGTGGCTGCAGCTGCAGCACCTGCTAGTGGTGCTGGCAGTGGTGGTGCCGCTGCCGCTGCAGCTCCAGCTGCCCCAGAGAAAAAGGAGGAAAAAGTCGAAGAGGAATCTGACGGAGAAATGGGTTTTGATCTCTTTGGTGGAGATGACTAGAGTTTGTGTTGTATGTTTCTTTGCAGAGTTGCCTCAAATTTTTATTAAGTTTCCCATTTAAAGACCTTGATCTTTTCTTCTTTTTGTTTATCTATGAGAACTTTTGCTCATGGGAGATCACTATGATTTCTGTTGCATGTTATCTCTGAAGTTTTACAGTGGTTGATTATCCTTTTCAATGGTTCATCTCTTATCAAAGAATGAAGAAAAACACGTCCAAAATTTTTTTTCATTGAAATTCCTGCGGTGATGACCTGTTTCTTCCTTGGAATCAGGTAGTTTCTTTGGCTGTTTGGCTCTGTTTCCTTTTTTTCCCCAACTTTTTTCAACTATTTTGCCACTCCTGTTTACAAAAATTGCCACCTACTTTCCCGACCCCCCTATTTTTCTGAAACCCTTTGTAAAGATTGCAAAGAGACATCTTGGCTAAATTTATGTAAATTCAGTCGAAAAATATATCGGAGTAAATTAAGTACTTCAAATTTTATTTCCATTTTTCCTTTATTGAACATTAATAAACTCTAAAACCTCCTTCCATTAACACATGATTCTTCTCTCGGAAAACGCATTCTTTGTTGCCTGAGTAGGATCCATGCATCATGGAGAGGAAGCAATCACTGGCCCTAGTTTTTCTATTGTCGCTTGTTGTTTTGGGTCTATTTGGGAACAACGTTAGAGATTAGCATTAGTCTTTTGAAAAGGCTATCTACGGACGGCGTTTCGCGTTAGCGTTTTCAAAGTAATCTGCACTGTTAAAATTTTATCCAAATCGTTAACTCTAATCCTCTAAAACTACAACTCAGCTTAATCTATCAGGAATATCTTTAAATTTGGTGGCCTATTTTGAAGGATGCCGTGGAGTTTTTTTTTTTGCTGTTAAGGTTCGTTGCACTTCTTTCTTCGTGCATCATGTTTAGGATCCCCACATGCCGTTTTTTTTAAATTCTTGACTATCTTTATTGGGGGATTGTGCAATGCTAAAATACAACCTAGTTAGAATCTAAGGCGAGTAGAGCCTCTAGAGAGTGTGCATGTAGAGGTACCTCAACTACTCTGTAAAAAATAGAGAGACTGACCCGAAAAGACTCCCAACTCAAGTAACAGAAGAAGCACAAAACACAAAGAAACAGGGAGTAGATTAACAACAAAAAAGTGCAAGAAGTACCAATCATATAATTAAATGTTTTGAGTAAAATACAATAAAAAAAATAGGTTGATGTTTTTTCAACCAAATTAGATCATTTTTTATCACCGATTAAATAAAAATTGCATCACGTAGTAATGATATACGGAGTAATACTTTCTCTGCCTCATAAATCTTTGATACTTTTAATTGACAAAGTTTAAGAAAGTTGTCGAAAAATAAAAAGTGTAGTTAGAATTTGTTTAGAGGAGAGAATGGTTGGTAGCCACATATTCATTGCCAATATAGAGAATAAATTAAGTAAGTTGTTTTTTGAAACATGCAGCAAAAAAAAGTGTAAGGAATTTTATGTGTTATGTGGAGTAATATTTTTAATGTTTTTACAAGACAAATCTTAGAAAATTATTTTTATACTCAATGTCAAAAAAACAATACAATGTTAATTCAATTGATGACGTGCTCATAAAACTAATTCACGACTCTATAAGAATTTCCCGAAAAGTATTCTTTTCTATGAAATTGGTTTTCAATTTTCTTTCACAAGTTCAAAAGTTTCTTGTATTAGAGCACCCACATTGAAAGGACTACTACGTGGAGGACTACCTTTTACTTCTCTCCTCCACATCAGATTTTGTGGACCCAACCTACAACTCCTCCATTACTTCTCTTTTTCTCCTACATCATAAGGACTGCTAAAACAATATTATATATATAACTTATTTTTATTTAATTAAGAGAATAATTTTAATTTTAATTTATACAAAGCTTCATAAAAAGTGTGTGGTTAAAATTTATTGAGTATTTAGAAATAAAATAAAATTAATGATATCCACATATTTATTTCCCTAAAAAAGAAAGTGAAAAAATATACTCAATTTAAATTTCTAGTTTAAAAAGATAAAAAAATCATTTTAAAACTATTATTCAAGATTAAGTATCCAAGTTCATTTGAAAAAAATCAGTATAAATTTGTTTTCTAGTTTATATGGAAGCACCTTGGAGTAGAAAACAAAACAAAAAATTGGAGTTATTGCCACATGTCAAGCAACTATTGGATTTTGGCTCTTTTTTTTCTACTTCTCCGCGGAGAAGCTCCTCTCCTTCTCTCTCTTGGAAACTGTGCAGGAGGAGTACTTCTCCATCTCCTCCTCCTTCGGATGCAGCTTCTACTCTAGGAGAACTCCTTCTCCTCTGTCTTCTTCTCCGCCTGATGCGGATGCTCTTACGGAGTACGGCGTAACTGTTTTTCTTCTTTAGAATTTTATAGGCAGTATAATTTATTTTAAACTAAATTTTCAAAATTGTCTTTTCTAATAAATGTTTTTCTAAATTAGTTTTCAATAAACAATAAATACCAAGACAGTCCTTTGTAATTGAAATGTATTTCTTAAATAGTCATCTATAAAAAATATTTATTAAATAACAATTAAATGGGGGTATTTTTGCAATTTCTATCATCTAAACTATGAATTAGTCTTGAAATTGGTCCTTTCAAATTAAGTGAGTGACGATTAGAGGAACAGATCCATCCCGAGTAGGTTCATGGACTCCATTTCAAGAAAATATTTACTTAGAAATTATCAGTTTGGAAAAATATTTAATTATAAAGGAACATTTCGATAACATACTCTAAGTCTAGGCAACAAAAAGTACCAAAATTCCTTCTATTTGATTGACATTTAATAAATATTTTTGGTAAATGACTATTTAGGGAGTACATTTCAATTACAAAGGACTACTTTGTAAATTATTACTTATTGAAGATTAATTTGGAAAAACACCTTACTAGAAAGGACCGTTTTAGGGAATTTACTCTTTATTACTGTTTTTGAATTGTACAAGAATTTTGTCTGATTATGGAGTCTCTTGAATAGGGATGACAATGAGTTGGTTCGGGTTTGATTTTGTCGACTTCGTTTCTTTTTCAGTTTAAGACTCAGTCGGGCCAGTTAGGTCAAATTGTGGTTTTAATACTAATCAATGCATTCATGATTAAATTGAGATTGAATATTAAAAAATAAAAATTTTGAAGATGACACAAAAGTTAAGATATTAGCAAAAATAAATTATGATCGAATAACTCTAAAAAATTAAATAGTAAATTTTCAAGTAATAATATATGGAGTAGAAATAAAATAAAATAGAAATATCACAAGATCTTTTTACGATAGAAAATAAAACATAAAGAAATACAATAATTTTTAACACATTCAAAAAATATATATCAAGAACAAAAAATTATAGGGATTTTTAAAAGCTTATGTAGAAAATAATAGGATAGAAATTATTCAGTATATTTTTGTGGTTTTGTCTTAACTACAAAGGACCAAATTTTTTTATATAGGGAGAGGCAGAAACATAAAGGGAAACAAACTCCAAGTTCTACAAGGAAACAAAATCTTCAAAAGAGAAACAAAACCAATTTAAATAAAGTAAGTTACCAAACCGAATCCCACTTGGGTTTTACCTTCCTTGTCGTTCCATGTGTGTGTCCCACGCCAATATCCCCTCTCAAGCTGGTGCCTGTGGATTGCAAGTGCCCAGGTTAGACAACAAATGGACGAAAGACATCGAGGGCGGAGCCTTAGTAAAAATATCTGCAGGTTGATCAACGGAAGCAATATGAAAGTGCGAAGCATCCTGCGCTAGATTTTATCACGAACAAAATGGCTATCAATCTCAATGTGCTTGGTGCATTCATGAAATACAGGGTTTGCAGCAATATAAAGAGAAGCCCGGTTGTCACAATACAGTGTCATCACAGTGCGAAGCCGTATGTCGAGAGAGAAAAAGAGATTTTATCCATTTGAGTTCACACACTATAGTAGCGATGACACGATATTCGGCTTCGGCAAAAGAATGGGAGACAGTGTGCTGTTTCTTTGTAAGCTAGGTGATGGGGGAGTCACTAAGTTTAATAAAATAACGAGTGACAAAGTGATGTGTGAGAGGACAATTTGTTGGAATACATGAGTTCAACCCTTTCTGTGTTGTTAAGTGTTGACTCACAGGTTTTGAAAATTGACAAACACAATTTATTCAAGTCAAGATTAAAGTGCTACAACGACAAACACAAAGACTTGAAGTGCCTTTCCTTGAAGTATTCAAGAAGGTGCACATGATTTGTTGAAGTCCGAGACGCGTTCGGAGCGCCTAACGGAGGACTCGGAGGAGTAGAAGCTTTCCGAATACTTTTTATTTATTTGAGTCTTAGGAATTATTGTAAGGATGACAAAAATAATCTTCTCTCCAAAAATAATTTTATGAGAGTTAAAATAAAAATTATATTTATTTTTGGAGTCAGTTTTAAAATCACTTAACTGTTCAAAATACTTTTATTAAGTCAGTTTCAAAAGGAGTATCAAACATTTATCAAAATATTTATTTTGATATTATAAAATATTTTTGGTAAGCAAAAATATTTTATTCAAATATTTTTCGTGTACATCGTTTGACATACAAAATAATTTTTGGATTAACTTTTTTCTCCCCTATTCAAATTCATTGAATAGGAGATATTTTCTGAAGAGCGTGCCTTGATATTCTCGTTGTCTCAAACAACGAGTATGAAGCCAAAGGCTTTCTATCGCATCTGGCCTTGGGCCCTTTGTGTTCGCGCATTATTTCATTAATAATCGATTTTCTGGCTTCAATTAATCGATTAATAGGCTTTTCGTTGGATTCCCTGGTTTGCCCACTAATCGATTTTTTCTCTTCACTTAACCGATTAGTTCGGACAGAGCCGACTAATCGATTTTTGGACTTTATTTAATCGATTAGTTCCATTCTTCAATTCAGGCTTTTTCGCCTCTGTGTACCGTAATCGATTAAACTTTCTACGTTAATTGATTAATTTTATCTGGTACCTATTCTCAGTCTGCTCCAACGGATTTATTTTACTCAGCCTATTTAATCCCTCATTCTTCTTCATTTCAAAAAAATAAGAAACACTCCAATACTCTCCATTCTTGAGGTGTTAATCATCCATCAATCTTTCCTCAAATTTATATCATTTTGAGAGAAAACTATTTGTTTTTAAGAGAAGTTTCTTGTCATCCATTAGAGCAAAACATTTTCTCATTCCTACTCTTTTGAGTGCTTTTGTTGAGAGGTTGAAGAAGAGTGTTCTTCTTGGTGTACAAGACTTATGTGACTTAAGTCTTGGGTGTAAAAGTCTTGTAGAGGGCATATCTACGAGTGGTTGTGTCGAGGCTTGTGGGATTCAAGTTCTCAAGTTGTAAACGGTTTGTTAAGCACCCGTAAGCTTAACGGAAGTAGTGGTAGCTTCGAGAGAGTCTCTCGGGGAACTGGACTAGCCACGAGGTGGTAAACCAGTATACATCAGTGTGTTCTTTGCCTTCTCTCTTTTATTTCCGCTGCACTTACGTTTACTCTATTAATCCTGCGAAAATCGGTAATCATTCTCAACAACTCTATTCACCCTCTTCTAGAGTTGCACGCCTTGTCTAACACAGTTGGCCCAATCAGAGTCACAAAAAGCAGTCTAGTGGAGATCACAGTTGCCTGGA